TCTCTCTCTCTCTCTCTCTCTCTCTCTCTCTCTCTCGCCCGCCTCCCCCATCCCTCTACCCTAGGAAGTGGAGAGTGCACCAGAACACCCAGGCCCCAAACTATTGCAGTCAACAAATGTGGGCATCGGACAATACTAGAGTTGATAATCTGGAGTGTCTCTATCTGGAGCAGATCGACATGGCAAGTTGCATCAACCGAGATCGTGTTGCTGTAGATGCATGTCAAGTGATACGAGACTATGGCAACAGACTAGTGCGTATCCCCGCCTCCCTCTTTGCCCTTGCCTATCTGTGACACTCGCTTCTGAAGACGATGGAGGCAGGCACCTCTCTCACCTCGAAACTGTCAACACTGCGCCCACCAACGAATACCCGCTTGGACAACGGGCTCACGGTCATGCACGTGATGACAGGCTCCTGTTCAATCGATTGATTGATCGAGTGCAAGAGCACGCCACAACAGAAAGCATCGTCACAACACATAAAGCGTTCTTTTCGAGCGTATTTTGCTATCTCACTTCTGTTCGCGCGCTAACGGGGATAAACTGTTTTGCGCTTGGGGCTAGCCTCGTTTGTGAGGCCGGCACCTTCACCGCTGCCCTAGGGTGTGTTCGAGTAGAGCGTGCCGCATGCATACCCATCCATCACGTATCCATACGTTGCTTGCGACGATGCCAATGTCGAACTCACGTTCTACTGCTGTACTCGCCAAATCTATTGAAACGGTTTTAAGCTCGCTTACCCGCGTGGCGGGCGAACAGGTTGACTTCCGACGTGTTTTTAACCTCATCCTGTTCGCAGCCATGTTCGAGGTGAACGTCTCCATGCACGAGAACGTCCGGAGATCCCAGAGCTTGCAAAATCCGTCCGCATCGGCTGTGACCAACTGTTGAAAATGTGTGCGAACAGAGCGAACGAAATCCAGCGGAAGGGGCAGGGTTTTTGTCCACACGATGAAGAGATTCCGACAGCTCACTTTCAAGTCTGGGAGAGCCGCCTGAAAGCACATCCGACGGTCGAACGCCAGTAGCCACAGTTGCGATACCGTTCGTTGTCCGTCGAAGCCTCCAAACAGGAACATGAGCACCCTCACCCCCCTTTACCTCAACTTCCCGCACGTCGTTAATCCTGGTACAGAACCTTCTCCGACTTGTGTTTCGTTTGCACTACACCTGCACTGCGATGCACTCCGTGAGTCGTGACACCTGAGAGGTGCCCGTGATGTGCTCTACCCCTACGATGGCAGAGCAGTGGCCCCGCAGGCGGCTGATGGGGTTGGACAGGTAGGGGTTGTTGACGACCAGGTCGTACGAAAACCCTCCGGAGACGATCAAGCGCTGGTCCGGGCAGTACGCCATATGTTTCACCCCCTGTTCCGACAACAACACGGATGTCATTTGTGTGCTCCGTCCTATCCATTCTGGGCGCCAGCCTACACCATTCAGTGTATATTTGGTCCTCCAGCCGGGGTCGCAAAAGAGGAAGGTAGGCACAGTTTTTCCCGTTATTTACCTAACCTCCGCGGTAGAATTCTGTACATCATTTGTCGAGATGTACAGGTTTTCAGGAGTCAATCAGTTAAGCAAACATTTATTTCTTCGTGTTCTTCGGAGGGGGTAAGTTGTGCAGTCGATCACTAGATGGTTCGACGGATGACAGAAAAGGAAACAGGGCGGATACTACAGCACAATTCGCAAGGTTATCTGAGAGCCCACCTTCGGATGACCCAGCAATGTTTTCCGAAGGCCCAGCGTGGTGAGATCCCACAGCTTGACGGTGTGGTCCATGCTGCACGAAGCAACCATGTCGGTTCCTGCCGCCAAGTTTTTGTTTCATGAAATGTATGATCGGATGTATTGGCTGTGAGTAGTGCGGTTTTCGCCTAACCGCCGGGTAGCTTATCGCGTATTTCGAAGCCCAGGCGACAGTGAGTTGGAAAGTACAGCACCCCGCTTGCCGACCCCTTCAACAGTACCAAGCCATCTAGGCAATAACCTATTTTACAATAGCATTCCCTGCCGGTAGAACTTTCGATCTGACCAAAGTTTCAAATACCTCTCCCCCCCCCCTCCCCTTTCATCCTCGTGCCCTCCATTCTCCCCCACAGAATCGCCCGAACGTGGAACACGCCTTTGAAGGTCGAAGCAGCTTGTTTCACCCCGAGAACAGCTTTGTGCGTTGCGACCGTTCCAGACTTATTCCCGAGTGTCGGGAATCGTGGCCTTCGTTTTGCAAGATTATTGGTATCCGTGCTCACCGGTTAGCGTCAGGAGGCTTAGCACCGCATCTGAGTGCCCCCCGTCCAGGCCCAAAGCCTTGTCCTTCTCGTGATGACTTGGTGGTCTTCGTTTCAAGACACAAATCGCGGGAAAAGCGTTCGGAGCGGCACGGGAAATCGGTAGGTTCGAGACGCGTACGAGAGGCCGGCACATGGCGTTGTTTCGATGTCCTTAGCTCGGCTGCACCGCAACAAGTAAGATGCGAGACATGCACGTGCATCAGCAAGGTTTCGACGAGGTGACGGCGGTGCTAAACATCTCGGCCTTGAGTCTTGCTCGTTTGCTATGGAATTGTCGACCTCGAAAATCGTCCCACGTTGTGTGAACATAGATACTTTACTACTCCTTTAGAGTATGGCATTTGCGCCCACCTCTTGTTTTTCATGTGCCCCCCAAGGACGTGGTGAGGGAGAACATCGCCGTTATCGGTGTTGACGTGGCTGACTTCACCCATCTTCCACGAAAAGATGTTCCCGATCATGTCGCCGGCCACAACCAGGCCGTGGCTATCAGAGTAGGTCAAGCAAATCTTTCCATCAATCATCGCAACCGACAGAGAGAGGGGCGGGTTGGGACCGGTTGATCGATACGCTTGTTGCCGGTGCTCGCTGCTTGTGCGGTGGGCACTCCCGACAGGGAAGTGGCAGCACGAAACGACTGACCGACTATTATAGACACCTGTGGATGGTTTTTGTGTGTGGTTTTGTGTGTAATGAATTTCTTTCACGTCTATCAATCCCAGCGCACACCCGATACGAGGGCGGTGGTTGAAGGGTACACGCGAGGCCACCATAGGGTACCATTGCCGTGATTTTGCCCTCCCCCGACAGGAACATCTGCGAGGTCAATGGTCTAACGACTACGGCATGCACGACTATGAGTACCCCCCCCCCCCCCCCAC